CCCCATATGCCAGAGGTGGCGGGTTCAAACCCAGCCTCGGCCAAAATCTGCAATTTAAAAAAAAAAAAAGTGGGATAATGGCTCTGAGAATGGGGTCTCCTCAGAGAACATGGGTGGCTCCCCTGAAGAGGCAGGGTGGTGTCTTCAGAAAGGTGAGGATTCCCCGAGAAGCAGGAGGTCCCCTCAGAGAAGCACGCGTGTCTTCTGAGAGAAGTGAGACCCCTTCAGGAAAACAGAGGATCCCCAGCGAGGCAGTAGGTTCCTGAAAGATGGGGGGGGTGTCCCTCAGAGAGAAACGGTCACCTCAGAACAGCAGAGATGGGGCTTCCCCTCAAAGAAGCAGGGGTCCTCGGCAAGGTGGAAGGCCCAAAGAATGTGGGCTCCCCTCAGAGAGGCGGGGGTCCTCAGAGAGGTGGAGGCCCCCAGAGAACATGGGCTCTTCTTAGAGAGGCAAGGACCCTTCGGACAAGGGGACTCCCCTCAAAGGCAGGGGTTCGCAGAACAGGGGTCCCCAGAAAGGTAAAGGTCCCTCAAAGAGATGAGTGCCTCAGAAAAATGGAGGGCCCCCTCAGGGAAGTGAGCAACCTCGAAGACGCGGGGGTCCCCAGAGAAGGGCTCCCCAAGACTTGGGGTTCCCCACGGAAGAGGGCTCCCCTCAGAGGCAGAGCTCCCTCTCAGAGCCGGAGGTCCCTCCAAGAAGAAAGTCCACTCAGCGAAGGTGGTGCCCGGGAGAAGCGGAAGCCCCAGAAAAGCCTGGGGCACCGGAAGCCGAAGACCCGCCAGTGGCTCCGGCCCCTCACTCACCGAAGTTGCTCGGCACCCCCCTGGCGGCGGCTGGGTCCCGGGATGGCTTCGGGTGGCGCAGTCCGGTCAGGTCTAGTCGCGTCCCGCAGCGGCGGCTATCTCAGGTGGCGTCCGCAGCGGCGGCGGCAGGGGCAACAGGACGACGGACGACCGACCGACCGACTGGGCTGGCGGCGCGGGGCGCGCTCGGGCGGCGGGGGTGCGCGTGCGCGCGCCGGGGCGCTGACCCCGGGCGGGAGGAGCCGCCGCGCCGCGCTCGGAGCTGCAGCTGGGTCTAGCCGCTCCGTCTCACACTGAAATTGCCCGCTTCACAGCCCGGCTTCCCCGGTTGCTAGGCAGATTTCGCCTCGCACACTTCCGGGTTGAGCCGCGTCTAGCCGAGTGGCGGCGCCGCAGGCCAATGAGGTCCGGCCGAGGCTATCAGGATCCGCACCCCACAGAGGGTGTAGCCAGCCTCGTGACGGACAGTGCCCGCCGGCCAATGAACGTGCGGGCCGGCTGGTTCTCGGGATCGCGCCGGGAGCTGGGGCGGGTCCGATGGGGCAGAACTGGGTAACTGACAGGCACTCTACCAATGGAAGAGGGTAGCGGGCCAAAGGGCTAGTCAGGGTACTCTGGAGGCGGGACTTAGGCTTCGGGGAGGGAACGCTGAGAAGGGCGGGGCCTAGAGGGACGCGTCAATTCGTGTCCGGCTCGCACAGACCCTAGAGGGCGGTTCGCCTGGCCCGCCCGGCGGCCCGCAACTGGCTGGGCAGGGGGTTCCCCGCAGTGCTCAGCAGGGGCGCCCCACCCACAATGCACCAGTGGCCTCCTGGGCCGGACGGACTTGGGGCGGATACGCCAGGCGGCGGCTGGCGTCTCTAAGGAGACTGGACAAGTTGTAGCCAGGCCTTGTTTCGGAGGGTCTTCTTAGCCCCTGTGCTTTTTATGTCTAGATTTGTGACTTCAATGCTCTTCAGAGGAGAATTTTTTTTATTTTTTAGAGACATTGTCTCACTTCACAACAACCTACAGCTCCTGGGCTTAGCGATTCTCTTGCCTCAGCCTCCCGAGTAGCTGGGACTACAGGTGCCTGCCACAAGGCCCGGCTATTTTTTTGTTGCAGTTTGGCCGGTGCCGGGTTTGAACCCGCCACCTTCGGTATATGGGGCCAGCGCTCTACTCACTGAGCTACAGGCGCCGCCCTTCAGCAGAGAATCTTGAAGATTCTTATCCTGACACGGATTCTAAGAAGACTCTTCAAGATTCCTTTTCCTGGCCTTCGTTCCAAGGAGAATCTTAAGGAATCTGGTCTCTTTTTCTGGAAGAGTTTTGGGGCTTCTTGCTTTCCTCGCGTTTCTGAGAATTGCCAGGATCAGGATCATGTGGCAGATTTGGGATCCCAACTCTTTTTTTTTTTTTTTTTTTTTTTTTTTTTGAGACAGAGCCTCAAGCTGTCCCCCCGGGTAGAGTGCTATGGCTTCACTGCTCACAGCAACTTCCAACTCCTGGGCTCAAGCGAGTCTCCTGCCTCAGCCTCCCAAGTAGCTGGGACCACAGGCGCACGCCACAATGCCCGGCTATTTTTTGGTTGCAACCATTATTGTTGTTTGGCGGGTCCGGGCTGGATTCGAACCCGCCACCTTAGGTGTATGTGGCTGGCGCCTTAGCCACTTGAGCCACAGGCGCTGAGCCAACCCAGCCCTTTTTTAACTAAGAAAACATGGGGGTTCAAAGTCCCTGCCCTCTTTCTGTAGAGAATCTTGGGAATCCAGGGCCACCGGGAGCACCCCTGCCTCTTTTCTGAGCACTATTAGGGGCCACTGTGCCTCCCTTGACTGAGGGAAGTGGAGGCTACATGACCGTGACTTCCACCTTCATTTCTGAAGATAATTTGGGAAGTTTCAATCTTGCATGTCTCCTCACTCCAGGAGAAATTTGGGACTTCAAGCACCCCACCTCTCCAAAAAAGGATGGCAGGAGTTCCTACACCCCTTTACTAAAGAAATGCCAATGAGTTGTGCCTTGCACTTTTCTAAGCAGCATCTGACTGTTAGAGAAAGGGTCCCCTTTTTTCTGAAATTTCAACCATCTGATTCCTCTCCCCTAAGACATGGTGAGTTACACCTTTTTGAAAAACTACCCATTTAGCCTTCCTTTTCCTCTTTTACTGGGGAGAATTTTTCTGTGCCTTTATCCACTCTTTCCCAAGGGACAAATCTGCCAATTTTTCACCCAGAGTTTCATTTTCTGCTGGATAGGGCCCTTCCAGGAAGAATTCCTGCTTCCCACACACTCTCAGATATATCAGTCACCCTAAACTCTGCAAAAGAATGGCGTTTGTACCTCTGCTGAAACATGAACTATGGCCTACCAAAGGTCAAGGGCTTCCCTGCTATCCCCTTAATCCCTTTAGTTCTGAACTCTGTGCCAGATTCCATGCCCCTGAAGAATACAGCTTTGCCTTTAGTAAGGAACCAAACATACATTAAATCAGAGTAGTGAAGAAGGCACATGATACTAAGGAGTTGATGTAACAAAAAAAATTTTTTTCTTTTTTTTGAGATAGAGTCTCACTCAGTCACCCTGGGTATAGTGCGGTGGCATAGCTCATAGCAGCCTCAAACTCTTTAGCTCAACAGTCCTCTTGCCTCAGCCTCCTGAGTAGCTGGGACTGCAGGTGCCCACCACAATGCCCAGCTATTTTTTATATTTTTAGTAAAGATAGGGTCTTGCTCTTGCTCAGCCTGGTGTCGAACCCCTAAGTTCAGGTGATCCACCTGCCTCAACCTCCCAGAGTGCTAGGATTACAGACTAAGCCACCCCACCTGGCTGACAAACATTTTTTAAAAGATAGGATCTCTCTATATTGCCCAGGGTGGACTCAAACTTTTTGTTTGTTTGTTTTGTTTGTTAGTTTGTTGTTTAAGACAGAGTCTCAAGCTGTTGCCCTGGGTAAAATATCATGGCGTCACAGTTCACAGCAACCTCAAACTCTCAGGCTTAAGCAATTCTCTTGGTTCAGCCTCCTAAGTAGCTGGGATGACAGGCACCTGCCACAACACCCGGCTATTTTTTGTTGTTGTTGTTGCAGTTGTCATTGTTTTAGCTGGCCCAAGCCAGGTTTGAACCCATCAGCCACAGTGTATGTGGCCAGCGCCCTACCCACTGAGCCACAGATGCAGCCCTGGACACAAGCTCTTGAGCTCAAACAATCTTCCTGTCCAAGTCTGCCAAGTAGGAAAGTGTGCACCAGTATGCCTGACATGGCAAACTTATTGCCCCACTTTGTGCACAGAAGGGTGCAGGTGCTGAGAAACCTAAATTATAAGCTGGAACCTGTTAGCCTAGATGAATGCAATAAAGGGAAACAGGCCTGTTATATGGGGCAGAATGTTATACTAAAGAGATACGAAGAAAATGTAGTAAGAATGTAGAGGAGGAAGTGATGAAATGAGATAATGGATGTGAAAGTGCTTATAAACCATGAAGCAGCTTACCCAGGTGGAAAGGATGATTGTTGTTACAAGTGGACTGATGTTTCTGGAAGAAAAGTAAAGAATAAATTCAGATTCACAGTGATGGGAGGTTGGCAGGAAGTCCTGTAGGGCCTGACTCCCTGAGTGAAGTCAGCCTGGTCAGTGGCAAGGTTGACAAGAGTCCTTGGCTAAGGAAGGAAGCCACTGCAAACAAAGACAATGTGTTTCCATAGCATTTTGTCTGTACCTCTGTCGTAGCTCTTACTGCATTCTCCAAGTGTCTCAGGTATCAAGGTGAGCAATAAAGACTTGAACATTGGTGGCTGGAACAGCTGGGGGTCAAACCTATGCCCGCCACTCCCTAAAGAGGCCAGTTACTTTCCTCACCCTATAAGAAATCAGAATACAGGCAGTGCCTGTGTCTCAGTGGGTAGGGCGCCAGCCCCATATAATGAGGGTGGCAGGTTCAAACCTGGCCCCAGCCAAACTGCAACAAAAAAATAGCTAGGCATTGTGGCAGCACCTATAGTCCTATAGTCCCAGCTACTCGGGAGGCTGAGGCAAGAGAATCACCTAAGCCCAGGAGTTGGAGGTTGCTGTGAGCTGTGTGATGCCTCGGCACT